GTAGGTGCATTCGTCAATCCGAAAGACATCACTACAAACTCGTAATGACCAAAACAAGTTCTGAACGCTGTTTTGGGAACGTCTTCTCCAAAATTCGTAACTGGTGATACCCAGATCTCAAGTCTATTTTCGAGAAGTAGCTCGCACCTTGAAGTTGGTCGAACAGATCGTTGATGGGAGGCAGAGGATATCGATTCTTAACGGTAAGTTTATTCAGCTCGCGATATTCTATACACATGCGAAATGTTCCATCCTTTTTCTTCTTGAACAAGACCGGTGCTCCCTATGGTGATAAGCTTGGTCTTATGAAGCCTTTTCAAAGGAGTTCGTTCAGCTGGTCAGACAATTCCTGCATTTTAGATGGTACAAGACGATAGGGGGATTTGGCTATAGGGGTAGCCACATGGATTATGTCGATTCTAAATTCGACTTGTCATTCAAGTGGTACTCCTGGGAGATCGTCGGGAAATATGTCAGGAAAGTTGAAAACCTCAGGAATGCTCACAATGTCTTTCACTTCTTTCTTTTTGTCTACCACATGACCTAATAAAGCATAGTACTCCTTGCGAAGATACTTTTGTGCCTTGATACGAGAAATGATCTAGAGTTTCGATCTGGATTTGTCACTGTAGATGATAAGAGTTTCATTATTCGGCAATTTTAGGCGTATAGATCTTTCATAACATAGGATGCCGGCATGATTAGAACATAACCAATCCATATGAATAATGACATTGAAACTTTTGATAGAGACCGTCATAAGGTGTATTGGGAAAGAAAAGTTATTCAAGGTAAGGGTCATCCTATCTATATATCGTTAGTGTATTCGGATTTCCCTTTGGCCATTTCTACTCTGAAGGTTTCATTTAGTGGTTGGGAGTTTTTTTAGTAGGTGTTTGAAATTATGGCTCACGAAGCTCTTCTTAGCACCACAATCAAATAGAATGCATGCATAAGTATTGCTGAGAAGAAATATACCCGTGACCACCGTAGGCTCTGCCACAGCCTCTTCATGACCAATTGACGATATTCTTCCAACTCCCCCGGAATTTCTAGCTTTCGGAAAATCTCTTTTGAAATGTCCAACTTCTCCGCATTCATAATACGCTTGACCTACTCCAGTGGTAGGTACTTGGTTAATCGGTTAGGGTGGTGATTTACAGAATTGGGCAATATGCCCTTTTTTGTTGCAGTTTAGACACTGCATTTCTTGGCAATTTCCGTTGTGGTGGAAATTAAACTTGTTGCATTTAGGGAGTTTACCAGCATAAGGCTTAGCTGGTGTGGGGTTAGCGGGAACAACAGCAAATACAGTAGTAGCATGGACTACCACGAACTATTGCTTTTTCGAAGGTTCATGAGAAGATTGGCCCTTCCTTTTATTCCAAGCTTTCTTTTTGATGTTGTTGTTGTTGTTGTTGTTGTATCGTTGTTTTTGTTGTTATTGTTGTTGTTTTTGTTGTTTTTGTTGTTATTGTTGTTGTTGTTTCCTTTGGGTTGTTCTGAAGCATCAACCACAGAGTTTCGACGTGCTCCATGGTCAATAAGTGACTGTGTCATCTCTTTAGCACTGTCAAAGGTAATAAGCTTGGAGGAAATGACACTCTCTTGAATCTAAGGTGATAGTCCCCAGATGTACCGTTCAATCTTTTAGCTCTCCAGAGCAACCGTTTCTGGACATAGAATTGCTAAGTTGCAGAACTTATTAGTGTAGGTTGTTATGTCTGAACCAACCATAATAAGACCCCAAAGATCTTGCTCGAGCTTCTGAATATCACCCCACGGGCAGTACTCCCGCATCAACATCGACTTTAGGTTCTCCCAACTTATCGAATTAGCCACTACCAGAGTTAGTGACTTAACATGGCCGTTCCACCATGTTGGAGCTCTATCAGCAAAGGTACATGCAACAAATTTAACCTTGATCCTTTCTAGACTGGATCAGATTTCGAAGACTGCCTCTGTTTTCTCAATCCATTGCCTTAACGCCATAATTCCCCTAGTCCTATTAAAGATCCTGGGTTTGGCGTTTGAAAAGTCCTTATAGGTACACTAAAGATGGTGCCCGTTACTTCCACCCTGATTCGAGGGGTGTGCACCACTCCCCGATCTAATTGCAACCGTAGTGGTTATATGTGACATAGCAGCAACAACAGATGGAGTGACCGCCGCTTGAAACATGGTAGCGTCAAATTGAGGAGGTGGTAGCGGAGGTGGTGTTGACGTTTCATTAACATTGACATGCATTAGGTTTCTCCGTGGATGCATCTTTCACTTTAAGAATTAAAAGATGAAAAGATGGTTAGATATCAAGAATAAATATGAATCTAATATCTCTGAACTAAAACACTTAGTACAATATGAATATTGAAAAGAATTCGTAATAGAAGTATACTACAAGTACAACATGCAACCATATATCATGAATTTGAGTGGTTATTTTTCAAAGAATATGAAAATGCATGTCAATTGTATTGGCATATTAATGTCGGATAAGGTGTCTAAGTCCATAACTATTTCTGGTATATACTTGACCCGACCCGGCATGGTCCATTTGGGTTGCATGGCACCATGCAATTGGATAGACTAAATGAGAGATATAACACTTGTGGTTTATTAATATACCATAAGTTCTAATATATTAATAGTATTATTTAATTAGTTTGATCAAGAATTAATTTATAATTAATTAAGTGATCAAAAGTTAACTAATTAAATATATGGGTTGATTATGTAAATTATCCATAACTTGTATAGTGGGCTAAGAGGATCCATGGATTATCAAGTTGGGTTAAACCCATTGGATGCTCCATGGATTATCCATGGGAGTTATAAACCCACGGTCATGGAAATGAAGAGTCATGACACATTAGGGTTTACATGTTGTAACCCTAGATGTGTCAACACTATATAAGGAACCCATTCTCCACCAAAATCGGCTACACAAGTACAAGTGAGGGCTAGGCCGATTTTTAGAGTGTTTGTATTCTCTCAAACGTCATTCCAAAAGCATTTGGTGTTGTGTGAAGCATTTGAGGCATCACACTTGGGGTGCTAGGCTCACAAGGTTTCAAGGATCATAATCAACAACAAGGTAAGTTATTTTATCTTTCATTCAAGTTAAAAAAAAATGTTCCCCATGTATGCTAGATAGGAATATAACCATGGAATTCAACTTTGGATGATAATTAGACAAACATAGATCTAAGGTTATTAGGGTTGCATGTACACTTAGGAAGTGTTAGAATGCTCAAAACCCATCAGTGGTATCAGAGCCTAGGCTTGTTTGTTTCTTTTTTTTTTGTGCAAAATTGTGTTAAAATCGAAAATAACTTGTTGTCTGATCAGTGAACTCGTCGAGTCCATGGGGGGAATTGACGAGTCCAAGTGAATATTCATCCTACTCGTCGAGTAGGTCCATGCACTCGACGAGTAGGAGGCCCTGACAACAGATTTTCGACTTTTGTTGCTTGAAATGGACTAGAAACATTACCCTAAATA